TTTTGGTTGAGGAGGAAGAGTTTCTAGTGGCTGTCAGGAAAACATCCACTAGGGTGTGTGTTTAAATAGTAAAGGGTTAGGAAAGAAAAGTGAGGAAAAGGAAAGAGAATCAAATGGATGGGGACAGGTCTGCTAAGAAGACATACTGTCAAACTTTGCATTGAAGCTTTGAAGTCTTTATAAACTTTATGAAAGGTAGAGGTAGAATCATGGGATTGTGTTGTCAAATATTCCTTTCACATATAAATCTGATTTTAGATAGTAAAGATTTTCTACTTGGTAGAGGAGCATTCCAGGATCTAGCTATGCACATATGTGGGGCCATGCATTTTCTATATATCAGTTTCATTATGTGGCTTGGCCAATTAAAATGATCAGGTTTGCTATTTAAAACAGCTGGGTAAGGAAAAGTTTCAAAACACTGTAGAAAATTGCAAACACTTCTCTAAAGAAAGGCCGAATTATCGCAAATCTTTACCGGGTGCAAAGTAGCTACCTCTTTCCCCACAGTCCACAGATAGCCCATTACTCAAGTACAAAGAGGGAGCCAATGATGAAGTCTAATGGAGTCCATATACGAGCAGTTAACTGACTAGCCACAATTCTAAGTTGTTATATTATGACAGATTTCAGTTGGGTTTGGCAAGGACCCTTTAAAGCAGCCTTAATTAGAATCAAAAGAGTTTTCACAGATTCTTCACTGAGTTTTCACTGAGATTAGTATTTCAACATACAATGAAAGCCATAGATTAAAGAGACTCTAAAGAATATAATTGACAATTGTATAGTTGTGCCATTAGACTCCGTGAGATCAAAAAAGTTGTTGCATATTTTTCAATACTAAATAGCACAGCATAGGTTGGTTTCAAGCAGCCATGTTGAATCAACAGCAATTTACTACCAATATTCCTCAAGATATTTGTTGAAAAGTCACAATGTAGTGAAAAGACCTCTGAGTATGGACACATACTACAGTTGAAGGTACACTGTAGGCAACCAGACCACTTCAGCTCATTGAAGTGGTCTGGGTGAAAACTCCCATCACCATTAACCCTGAGCATGTAATTTTTGCAGTTTTTATAAACTGCAATAATTGCCTGCTAGGGTAACTCCTCCTCTAGTGGCTGTCCGGGTGGATAGGCGACGCTATGCATGAGGACTTCCAACGTCACTGGAATCCCCATAGGAAAGCATTGAATAATGCTATCCTATGGGGAAATCCTAATGCGAGCCGGTTGATATTGGCAGAGGAAGAGCGTGGGCGGAGCTGAGTTATCACTGAGGGGCATCAGCGTTTGACTCAGGTAAGTGATAGAAATGGTTATTAACCCCTCCTGCACCATTCGGGGTTGGGAGGGGGGGAAGAGAGGGAGGGAGAACTTGACAGAGGGGAAAGCTATGGCGCCAGGAAAATGAATTTGTTTTCCTGGAACTATAGTTTCCCTTTACACCTTGTGAATTAGTTCAGTGGTCTGCATTTTATAATATTAATCCTAAATCGCCCAGCTCCTATAAAAATGAAATAAGTAGTTCTAATGTATAACAGGTTATGTAGTCAGTGTATTAATCAAATTACATATTTATGTGGCACATTGATATTAAAATATTTTTTTCTTATAACATTATTATGTTAAATTGTTTCAACATCATGTGAGGATTCTATATTAACAATTACCATTACATAGGTCTGAGACACAGAGCGGGTTCTGCATAATACATTATCATTTAAATATGTTCAAAATTGTTTCTCTATGATGGTAATAATAGTCAGACATGAGTAGACTGTACATGCATAAATATATAAGCGAGTACTTCAATAAGCTTAAATCACAAAACCTTGCGAACAGAAAATAAGTTCAAGCTGTAGATAGCTTGTTTCACTGCATAATTCATAAATGGCCTAGAGACACTTCTATATTTCCCATTAAAATTAAAGGACCAATGTTCCAGTTTTAAGTGTGATTATTACTGGAATATCCAGTACTTTAATACATAAGATCAGAGAATGTCAAAACTTTCAGCTGTGTAAAGTGAAATACCAGGTTCGTAAACTAATCTGCTGACTTTGTGATTTCAGTTTAAGCATTTTCTGCACATTTCAACCATTTCAGCAAAATTATGTGACCTGTGACATATTTCTGATAGCAGTAAGTTTTTTGCCACACATTTTTCTTTTTGTAGCAGTACTATTATAACAGACATGATATTGTACATAAATTCTAACTAGCATGTTTAAAAACAAGATACATTAACAATTCAATAACTAAATAAGAACTAGGATCAGAAGAAACTTCTCTGTTTTGTAAATTTATGATTATTTTCTGTAATTTCCCTGTGTTGCTCACTTTTGACATAGAAACATATAAAGAGAAAGAGAATAAGTTCACTTGTTTTAATCTACTTGATTTTTACTTGTACCAATAAAGATTTTTTTTAATATCTTTTAATCCTGGCATCTTGATTCTACTATTTCAAGAAAGGACCAAAAGAATCATAGGTGGGGAATATACCACTAGCGCCCTATCCATCGAGCATTGAGTCTGCTCAGAAAAATGTGAGTACATTTCCTCCATTTTTTAAGTATTTTAATATTATCTGCTACAAAGAGCACTATTTTTGCCATTTCTTTATCTTTCCGGTTTTGGAATTACCAACATTGAAAATATCTGGGGAAAATTACATACTACCTATATCCAGGGCCGGATTAACATAGGGGCTGATGGAGCTGCAGCTCCAGGCCCAGGCCCATGGAATAGGCCCATTTAAAAAAAAATAAAAAAAAAAATTTTTTTTTGTAAATTTTTTTTTTTGTAAATTTTTTTTTTACACTCTACTCTTAGGTTTGCCACCTGACTGGTATTTTAATGGCACAGACGGTATTTGAGGCTGCCTGGCCCTGCCGGTATTGCAGTAATACCAGCAATACAAATGCAGCTAATTTTCTCAGAATAAATGGAAATTACTCTGCAATACCAGCACTGGCCAGTAGGGGTCACTGTGTGTGGAGAGAGGCATGGATAGGAAGTTACAGAATATCCCTGCCTCTCTCTACTACTCACTGACCCATGGGGGAGCAGCAACACAGCACAGAGAGTCCAGACAGCAGCTCTACAGGTCAGGTAAGTGAGGGATGGGGGGAAAGGCAGCAGGGACACATGGGGACACTGAGACACTAGGGGACACATTGGGGACACTGAGACACTAGGGGACACATGGGGACACTAGGGGACACATGGGGACCCTTAGACACTAGGGGACACAGACACTAGGGGACACATGATGACACATACACTAGGGGACACTGAGACACTAGGACACAGACACTGGGAGACCTGGGAACACTGAGACACTTGGGGACACTGGAAAACATGGGGACACTGAGACACTTGGGGACATATGGGAACACAGACACTAGGGGACACAGACACTAGGGGACACTGTCACTAGGGGACACTGAGACACTGGGAGACCTGGGGACACTGAGACACTCAGGGACACTGAGACACATGGGGATGCTGAGACACATGGGGACGCTGTGAGACATAGGGACATTGGGAGACATTGGGACATGGAGACACTATGTCCCCCAGCCATTGTCCCTAGTGTCTCACTGTCCCCAAGTCTCCCAGTGTCTGTGTCCCATGTCTCTCAGTGTGCCTAGTGTCCCCATGTCTATGTCCACAACTGTCCCCATGTCTCCCCAAGTGTCTGACTCCCAGCCAGTGTCCCCTAGTCTCCCAGTATCCCCTAGTCTCCCAGCGTCCCCTAGTCTCCCAGTGTCTGTGTCCCTAGTGTCTTAGTGTCCCCAAATGTTTCAGTGTCTCCATGTCTCCCAGTGTGTTCCTAGTGTCTGTGTGCCTGGTGTCCCCATGTCTCCCAGTGTCCCTATATGTCCCAGTGTCCACATGTCCACAACTGTCCCCATGTGTCCCCAAGTGTCTGTCTCCCAGCCAGTGTCCCCTAGTCTCCCAGTGTCCCCTAGTCTCCCAGTGTCTGTGTTCCCATGTCTTTGTCCATAGTGTCTTAGTGTCCCCAAATGTTTCAGTGTCCCCATGTCTCCTAGTGTCTGTGTCCCTAGTGTCTCAGTGTCCCCATTTCTCCCAGTTTCCCTAAATGTCTCAGTGTCCCCGGGTCTCTCAGTGTCCCCAGTATCCTAGTGACATGGGGACACACTGAGACATTGGGACACTGGGAGAAATGGGGACACAGACACTGGGAGACTAGGGGACTGGGCGACATGGGGACACTGACACTGTGATACATAGGGACACTGAGACACTGGGTGACTTGCGAGACTGAGACACTGGGAGACAGGGAGACACTGGGAGCAATCCATCTATACAGCAGAATCAAACTGTGAGTAGTTTGGTGATTTTATAGAATTTTCTCTGATGTCACTCCTTGTGATTTACATCATGTGATGTCATGCATAACTAATTTATTATACAAATTATTAAGGCTGGTATTTTTTTCCAAGAAAGGTGGCAACCTTAACTACTCTTCACATACTCTTGCTTAAAGGAGCACTATAGGGTCAGGAACACAATCATGTATTTCTGACCCTATTATGTTAAAACCACCACCCTTCTTGCCTCCCTAAATATAGTAAAATATTACTTGTATTAAATTCTGCAGCTGCTGGCTCAGAAGTGGTGGTCTGAGCAAATTACAATACTTCCCCATAGGACTGGCTGAGACTATCAACTAGGCAGATCAGGGGCAGAGCCAGCACAAGTCCAACATAGCCCTGGCCAATCAGCATCTCCTCATAAAGATAAATTGAATCAATGCATCTCTATGAGGAAAGTTCTGTGTCTGCATGCAGAGGGTGGAGACACTGAATGGCAGTGCTGCACACTAGGCAGTACTGCCCCAGGAAGCACCTCTAGCAGCCATCTAAGGAGCAGCCAGTGGAGTTATTTTCTCTGAAAAGACAGTGTTTACTGCAAAAAGCCTGAATGGAATGATTCTACTTACCAGAACAAATACAATAAGCAGATGTTGGTCTCTCTAACACTGTGGCATGTCCCCTTTCTTCTACACTCACTACAGACATCTTTTCTCTGTCTCAGACTATATACCAGGAACTTCTGCCTGCTAGTAAGAAGGTAAGGAGACAAGTGGACCAGCGTGTGCTAGGGGACAGTCCTTTGAAAGAATGGAGTGAGCGCATCATTAGACGCATTTATGTCAAGCTCAAGGTGCTGCCTGCATAGTATGCCCTTAGTTGGACAGCCTGCAGGATTGGCAGGCAGCCTGACATGCATTCATGCCAGGCTGACCTTCCAATTCTTTGGACAAACGTTCCCCTTTTTGGGCATGTTCACCCCTTTTGGCAGGTCTTGTCACGTGATTTGCGCCAGTGGCACACCCTTTTACCCCGCCCATTGACTTCCTGCTTCACTGGACACTGCTGTTAGGGGTTATGGATTTACTTGAAAGATGAAATCATAAATTAGAGAGGGATTAGCATAGAGTATGTGTTTTCTTATAGCTGCATCCTATGAGTTTCCCTCCAGCACCATCTCCATCAGATACATGACGCTTGGGAGGTATGATTGTTTTAGTGTTTTTGGTCGATAAGATTCCGTAATTAGGCCCATCATAATTGTCAGCACCAGGCCCACTGTGCTCTTAATCCGGCCCTGCCTATATCCTAGAAGTGAGGATAATTTCACTTCAAGCTATCCACACCAGAGCTGGATTAAGCTCTGGTAAATGTGAGTAGTATATATCCCATCTATTTTCATATTCATCTCTGTATTATTTACTACACCATTTGAGTTCCCTTGTTTTCCCTTGTGTCTTACATGTACCTCTGGAACGATAAGAAACCCTTCAAGAACGCTTTTATCACATCAAGATTGGCTGTTCCTCGTAAAGACTTTTTTTATTACCTTTTATCTGTATCTTATACATTTACTGGATATTTTATTATTTATTATGCATCTTTTTGTATATTTTACATATTTTGGGCACAACCTTATTCTCTTTCTCTTTTTCTTGCTGCTAGGAGAGAACCCCTCTCTATCCTAAGGCGTGCTGCCCTAAATCCAATTTTATTTGTAACTTTATTCAGCGCTGACCCTTTCTTGCAATTTTTTTATAGAAACATATAAACATAGAATGTGACAGCAGATAAGAACCCTTGGGCCCATCTAGTCTGCCAATTGTTCTAAATACTTTCATTAGTCCCTGGTCCTATCTTATATCTAGGATAGCCTTATGCCTATGCCACACATATGTAAACTCCCTCACTGTATAACCTAGGCTGGAAGGCTATTCTATGTGTCCACTGTGCTCTCTGTAAAGTAATACTTACGGAAATTATTTTTAAAACTTTGTATCTCTAATTTAAGACCATGTCCTCTTGTTGTGGTAGTTCTTCTTCTTTAGTAGTGCTTCTCTGAACTGTTTCCAAAGTATCAATATCCTTCTAATAAATATACACAGTGACTCCATTACTATATTATATCTTATATACTTTATGTAATAATAAATATACACAGTGACTCCATCACTATATAATATCTTATATACTGTATGTAATAATAAATACACACAGTGACTCCATTGCTATATTATATCATACATACTGTATGTAATAATAAATACACACAGGTCAGGTAGGCAGACAATGTAATAGAGCAGCAGGAAATGCTAGCAGAATGCTTGGTTGTATAGGGAGAGGTATTAGCAGTAGAAAGAGGGAAGTGCTCATGCCATTATACAGAACACTGGTGAGACCTCACTTGGAGTATTGTACACAGTACTGGAGACCGTATCTTCAGAAGGATATTGATACCTTAGAGAGGGTTCAGAGAAGGGCTACTAAACTGGTTCATGGATTGCGGGATAAAACTTACCAGGAAAGGTTAAAGGATCTTAACATGTATAGCTTGGAGGAAAGACGAGACAGGGGGGATATGATAGAAACATTTAAATATATAAAGGGAATCAACACAGTAAAGGAGGAGACTATATTTAAAAGAAGAAAAACTACCACAACAAGAGGACATAGTCTTAAATTAGAGGGACAAAGGTTTAAAAATAATATCAGGAAGTATTACTTTACTGAGAGGGTAGTGGATGCATGGAATAGCCTTCCAGCTGAAGTGGTAGAGGTTAACACAGTAAAGGAGTTTAAGCATGCATGGGATAGGCATAAGGCTATCCTAACTATAAGATAAGGCTAGGGACTAATGAGTTTTTAGAAAATTGGGCAGACTAGATGGGCCGAATGGTTCTTATCTGCCGTCACATTCTATGTTTCTATGTTTCTATGTTTCTGGAGATACAGTCTCCAGTGCTGCATACAATACTCCAAGTCAAGTCTCACCAGTGTTCTGTACAATGGCATGAGCACTTCCCTCTTTCTACTGCTAATACCTCTCCCTATACAACAAAACATTCTGCTAGCATTTCCTGCTGCTCTACAACATTGTCTGCCCAACATTATGTCATCTGGAATAATTACTCCTAAATCCCTTAACTCAGATGTTTAGGTTAGTACTCTATCAAATATTCTATACTCTGCCCTTGATTTTTTTAATGCCCAAGATGCATTATCTTGCATTTATCCACATTAAATATCAGTTGCCACAGCTCTGACCATTTTTCTAGTTTACCTAAATCATTTGCCATTTGGTTTATCCCTCCTGGAACAACAACCCTGTTGCAATTTTTTGTATCATCAGCAAAAAGACATATCTTACCATCAAGACCTTCTGCAATATCACTAATAAAATTATTAAAGAGTATAGGTCCAAGTACAGATCCCTGAGGTACCCCACTGGTAACTAGATCTTGCTTCGAATATACTCCATTGATTACAATCCTTTGTTGGCTGTCACTCAACCACTGTCTAACCCATTCAACAATATTGGAATCCAAACTTAAAGATTGTAGTTTATTGATTGATTATATGTGCAACAGTGTCAAAAGCCTTACTGAAATCTAGGTAAGCAATGTCTACCGCACCACCCTGCTCTAATATTTTAGTTACCCAATCAAAAAAATCAATAAGACTAGCTTGGCATGATCTCCCTGAAGTAAACCCCTGTTGCATCTGGTCTTGAAATCCATGTGATTTTAGATGTTCAACAACCCTATCCTTTAACATGGTTTCTATCACTTTCCCCACTACTGAAGTAAGGATTTCTGGACTATAGTTGTCCGACTCCTCCCTACTACCCTTCTTGTGAATGGGCACAACATTTGTTAAGTTCCAATCTTCTGGGACTACTCCTGTTAATAATGATTGGTTAAATAAATCCATTTAGGGGACGGGGCCAGACCGCCATGCTGACTGGTCACATGCAGGAAAGGCTCTGGAGTTATCCGGCCTCTTAAGCCATATTTAATAGCTTTTTGCACTGGCACAGAGCCTAAGAGATACCCACACAGCTGTGGGAGAGGTAGTGGACCCTGAGATTGGAAGTTTCAGACCCCCAGCGGGAAGCATTAGACTTTGGAGCAGAGTGGATGGCCGCTGCCCTGTTTCCCTCCCCTGCTACCACATGCCGGCTTACTGAATGTTTGCCAGTCCCGTTCCCCCCCCTTGGGCCGGGGGGGGGGTTATCCCAGTCCCCACTGAAGAGAACTCGAGCTGTGGAGAGACTTAAGGGCACTGACCACCCAAGGCCTACCTAGTAAGATGGCAGCGGCAGGGAGCACCTTACCAACTGCTCTTGTGATACAGAGCCACACTAAATGCCCAAACAGAAGATCGTAAAGCGAGTCCAGCAACGAGTCCAGCACTGACCCCAGCCGGGAAGAGGATGAGACCGAGAGAGCCAATGGACCATCTGCCTGCAACAGACGTCCCCATGGCGGGGATGAGAAATGGAGGGAAACTATGCACCCATGCCGCAACGCAGGACCACCAAGCGGACTTACCAAACAAGTAGCACGCTTGCCAAGTGTTTACCTCTGCCGGATACCAAGGAAAGGGAAGCTCTGTCACTACCTGAAGGAGCACCAATGACACCTGTAAGAGCCTGTGGTTCCTCACTATCTTGCATTATGCCTAACTGCTGTATTAACCTGCCACTGACTGTAAGCTCCAAGCGACATCACCTGGTCACTCTATACGAGCACAGAGACAGTCACAGCCCAACACAAATCGGTCTCTACAAGGGACCCCAACTCAATGCATGCCACCTAAAAACTAACACTCTTGGACACAAATTGCAGCCATGCTTTTTCCCTAACCACTCTCTCTGCTAGGTCTCTCACGGACACATGTTTTATCATGGCCTGCTCGGCTCCAGTGATTTTAATTTTAAGCTTGCTTTTCCTAGGCAGCATGTTATATTATTTGTATTTTCTCTACACCTACATTCTAATCGTTTCCACTGCATGTCTCACCTGAACCACACTACTATTGAATAGTATGCACGCCTCCTTAATCCTGATAAGCAATACACTCATCTTGGGGACATCATAGTAATGTTTAGCCTGATCAAAAAACAAAATGTGTGAATTAACATGCCACCGTTTAGCCTGTTTGTACATGTGTACGCTGTTGTGGCGTTAGACAATGCTATGTACTTATATACACAACAAAAATTTTAATTAATTAAATAAAATACAAAATAAATCCATTTATGGTTTTGCTGGTACATCCCTAAGCTCTTTTAATATCTTTGGGTGTATACTATAAGGCCCCATCGACTTATGTGGATTTACTTTTGACAGTTGAAATAGAACCGCTTCCTCTGTAAACTCACATGTAACAGATGACACATTTGTTCTTTTTCCTAAGTGAGGTCCCTTTCTTCATTTATATCTGTAAATATTGAGAAAAGATATTAATTGAGGCAGTCAGCTAGACTTGTATCCTCTTCTACATAACTTCCTTCATTATAGGCATTTATATCAGTATCTCTTATCTCAATTTACTCTGAGCTTATTACATCAATTATAATGTAAGATATGCATTACAGAATACAGAGACATACACGATTGTAAAATATGTCCCTTATTTAGACAAAAACAATAAATATGAGGAATTTTTCACCTAGAGAGGTGGCTTTTATATACTTTCTGGAGATTTATGTAAAAAAAATGTATATAATGTTTTTTAATTAAACAGAACATTCAAGCAAGACAATGAGAAGAAAGAATGTGTAAAAAGCATTAATGGGGATAGACTGTTGAGATGGATGTGTATACTGCATTATATTTTGAGTGAAAGTAGTTGTATGGTGGCATGGATGTGGAAAACCTTATATAGCATGATATAGCATGTAAGGCAATGGGTTAAAATTATCTGAACTAGCAAGACCCATGCAATATTGGCTTTGTTCCCTTATGGTAACATCTCTGCTTGCAGGCTTTGTCACCAGGCTGACTATTCAGTTGACTATCCTGGAGATACACTCTGATTGTCTTTGAGAAAAGTATGTATCACAACACATATTAAGGCTAGTCTGTATTAGAGAGCATATAAATGTAATTTATTGTTTTTATTGGGCTTGGGTTAGTTTGTTTCCTTTTGGGCATCATATTACATTAGTTATATCATGGTTATAAAGGTTTGTTGTTTTGGTCAGTCAATGTGATGGACAACAGATAAGTGTTCAAGTTTTTTTAAGCAATACTTCAAAGAGTGAGAGAGAAATTGGACATTTATGTTAAGCCCTAT